TTTAGAACAGTGACATTCTCATCAGTCATTTTATTCTTATTTTAACAATTATTTTTTACTTTTTAGTTCGATTAACTCTAAAAGCGTGTTTTTTAGTTTTTTTTAACTACAATTTATTTTTTATTTTGTGCTCTTTTGACATTTAAAGATTTAGAGAAATTTCGAACAGAAAGGATTTCCGCATTTCAACATTTGAAATAGGACGTCGAGAATTAGGATTCAAGTCCTTTTCTCTCTAAGGCAATTTAAAGAAAAAAACTGACAGGTACCGGAAGAAAAAAAATTTGGTTCACAAAGTGAAAAACAAACAAATAAATAAAATGAAATAAATAATATAATATTAAATAAGTAAATAAATAATAAATTTTATTTATTCGAAATCATCTATTAAAAATAAATATTTAAAAACGTATTTCTCATGTAAAGACTCATGTATGTATTTCTTTTTATTAATCAATTTATTTTACTAATATTGGATGCTTTACATTTTTGTTAACAAAAAAGTCAATAAATATTTTATTTTAAATTCTTATTCAGATTTTATGGCACTATAAGCTGTTTAAATTCCCGAAATGGCCATAAATATAGATTTGTTTTTAATCTAATCGTATATCAATGAAGAGAAATTAAAATAAAAAAATTAATAAAAAATAAATAAATAAAAATTGGAGGTTTGCATGTTTTAGTAAAAGAACCCAGCTATTTATTGATAGCTATAAAAAAATGATTTTTTTTAAAAATTACTAGATCATTTTGAAAAATAAGAATGGAACGGCCAAATACTAAATCTGGCCAAGAAGCGGTAAAAAAAAAAATAATAATGACGAAAAATTTGATTTTTGATTTACCTTAGGCTTAAATTGTATAATGAGAAATACCTTTGATCCATTTAATAATTTTTTTTATTATTAATGGTCAACATCGTTTTGCCAGCTGCCATAACCTCACTTTAAATAGCAGATTCAAAATTAATTATTAAATTATATAGCAGATAGATAATCCACACATTCAATTAAAAATAGATCATTCAATACAAAACAGCAGATTAATAATTAATAAATAAATTATAATTTAAATTAAACACCAGATTAGTCATCTTACTAATCAATAGCAGATCCATCATCTTGCAGGCAACACAATTAAATAGAAGAACGATAATATTTTTTTTAAGCCCAGTCTTAGAGCGTGTTGAATTTCTCACACGGGTAATTCATCCATTGGAGAGAACCGAAAGCTTTGATGTCTAGCGTGAGTGCAATCATGACACATCTGTAGACAGGAAAGTCCTACCAATGGATTCACTTTCATCCATCATTTGTATTTCAAATGAATAGGGTTTTTGTTGTTTATCCTAATGGACTGGAAGAAACTTGGCGGAAAGTTCCTCCCAGGTAAGGGAATTAAGTTTCACATACCAAGCCAAACTGAAAACTTCCCTGCCTATCGGAAAAACAAGATAAATCTGTTGGAGGGAAAGTTTTCCCATATACAGTAGAACCTCTTTAAATCGAACCCCGATAAGTCGAAAAATCCACAACTCGAAAAAACTTTTTGTTCCCTTCCTTTCAAGCCCCAAAACCTCCATGACTCGAAATTTCAACCTTCTGCATGTCGAAATAATTAGTCAATCCCCACAAGCCATTTTGATATAAATTTTCCCTCCGTAACTCGAAAAAAAAAAAAAAAAAAATTGGACCTCTGTATCTCGAACATTAGCAATGTTTGATTTTACAATCTTTTTTACAGCGTTTACAACTCGATCATATGAAACTAATTACCTCTATAGCTCGAAGAAAAATAAGTTGCCGACTTTAAGGATTTGCCGACAATGCACGTCATTGTTTCTTAAAAAACAATGTATGAGTATATAGTAAATAGAATAACCAATTCTATGAAATAGCAACTCGGAAGAAAAAGAATTTTCTGCTCTTTATAGTTTAGATAATGCTATAGATAGAGAACGATCGAATTGTCTAAAGCAAAAAAAAAAAATAATAATAAATAAAATAAAATAATAATAATAAATAAATAATAATAACTGACTCTTTTAATACATAATATTTTTTAATTTTAAGGTTGTTTCGGAATTATTTTGATTTTTTTTATTGTAGTGCACAATATAACTTTTAAGTTGCAAATAAACATGCTGATTACCTCTGTAAGTTGAATTTTTATTTATTTTACCTCTCTAACTCAAAATACATTTAAAATCTAACCTCTGCAAGTCGAATATTTCCTTACAAAATCCGCGTAAATCGAAATCCTCCATAAGTCGAAAACTCTATAACTCAAATTATTTGGCGTCTCCCTTGAAGTTCGACTTACAGAGGTTCTACTGCATATAAAGCATGGATGATTAAAAATTTACGTTGATATAATGACTATAGTTATCGCGCCCTATTGATCGTTTCTAGATGAAAGAAGGCATCCGAGATGTAAAAGAAGAAAAAAAGGTGTTCCAGGGTCGCGTGGGCGTCGAAAGCGCAACATTCAATCGGGTCCGTCGTCTCTTCTCATTATTAATCGGAAGGGACGTGGAAAGAGAAAAAAGAGAGGAGGAACATTTTTATCGATTTCAGCTTAGGAAAAAGCGAAAGGTTGGGGGGTGGAGCAGAAACGGGGCGATATGGGGAGATGATTGAGTGCTGCAAACTTTTCGTGCATTGATCCAAAAATGTCCAACCGTTTACAGTCGTTTCGAGGAAGATGTCTTCATTTCCTGTAAATGTTAAGCCAATTGCTGAAGGTCGTTTTTCTTTGCAGCTGAAAGTTTGTCTTTCGGATTATTGCATGATCCGTCTCCATGTGCCTTCGTTTTTTTTTCAATTCCTTCTAATAGCTCACACTCTACCTATATATATATATATCTTATTCACATTTTCAATCGTTCATAACATACTTTTTATTCATCCACTCGAGTTCAAATACATTTTTTTTTTAACTTGTAGTGGATGACACTGGATGTGAATACAGTTTCTTCAAATATTAATTCATAAATTTTAGTTTTATTTAGATTTAAGTTGCATGTATCTACCTATAGATGGCGTCAGATAACCTTAAAAAAAATGAATGAAAATTATTTATAAAAGACTTTCTGCAATAAAGTGAAACAAAAAGTAGGAATTGACTTTAAAAAAAAAATTTTCTTATACCACTTGTTTTCACTTTAAACATTGGTGTATAGGCATTCAAGCCAATAACAATTTTCACTAATCTGTTTTTTTATATATGATTAAAACAAAATAAAAAACTGTTTTGAAGAAACAGCGTAATTCTGATCGATTTTTTGCATTATATTTCATAGGAGATGAATGTACGTTACGTGAAGAAAGGGTACATCAGAAATAACTCAATGCATTGTGCATAGTGACATAGATGCGAAAACGTCATGTGTTTTAGCCAGAGGATGGGTCGCGACGGATCATCTGACCACAAAGATTTCCTGAGTTGTCTCCCATTTATATTCCAAAACTTGGTGTACGTAACCTCTGTCGAGGATACGTACACCAAGATGATGAATTTTGCAAAAAAAATTTCATTTATAAAACAGGTTTTAAATTTAATTATTTTGATTTGCATTTTACGTATTTGGTTGAATCATTTCCGTTCCTCACTGTGAGCTATAAATATTTTAGACATAGTTACTATTTGAGGAAATTTGCAATTGGTTTATAGATGTAAAAAAAAAAATCTTTTGCATACCAAATTGCATGTAATACATTTACTGAATTAATAAATACAAATTTGTTATCTTTACAAAAGAAAATTTAAGATTATTAATCTATTCATCGCTGAAAAAATGTATTAGACGAATATGTATATGATAAATTCAGCTTATATCATTATATATTTTTTTTCTTTATTCACAATCAAATACTGAACTTGCTTGGCGCAGTTCAGTATTTGTTCAGTTCAGTTAGTTTCAGTACAGTTAAGGCAAATTTAAGGGGAAACAGTTTAAACATTTTTAAATGAAGTTAGGTTGTTGCAATTTTGTTTCATGAACAGTTTATATGTATGCAGGAGTTCCATTAATTCAACATAATTTAAAAATTTTTTTGCCCACTATTGAAATCGGTATGTTTGATTAATTTATTCTTACCATTAGACGCACTTGCAAGCTCACTTCTTTGGCGACGACAATAATAGTAAAATAATTGTTTTGCCCTACATAAATTTCATCTATTGCACAAAATAATTATCATTTTCAACTAAATTTACTGCCTTATGGGCCGCTTAGTGGTAATAGTTTGAAACTATACCAAAATAGAAAATGAAACTATACTAAATAGTTTGAAACTATCATGCAGTTTCCAATTTACTGGGCACGTCCACCAATAATTTCAGCTCATTTTCGTTGCTTTTAGAAACGAACAGTTTCGATGGCGATTGTAGCATTCATTCCAAAGTTCGGCTGTTTAACATTAACGAATGAATTAATATTTGAAAAAAACTGTATTAACATCACGTGTCATCCACTACAAGTTCAAAAAATAAATATATTAGAACTGGAGTAGATGAATAAAAAGTTTTTTATGAACGATTGAAAATTTGAACAAGATACATATAGGGAGAGTGTGAGCTAATAGAAAGAATGGAAAAAAAAAAGCGTTGGTATTTGGCATCAAAAATTATTTTCGCCAAAGTGCGCCAAGTAAGGGGTTGCAAATGTGCTATAAGTTAGATAAATTGCAAACAGTACAAGAAACCCGGGAGTAGTCAGTAGTAGTACAAGAAATCCGTGTACCACATTTGGCCCCTTATCGCCCAGTTGGCACCACGAAAATGTTGCCAATTTATGGAACAGAGTATCCTTATGTTGAATTTGAAAAGCAGTATTAAACATCAGCCCAGATTAAGATCATTTGATTCAGATTAAGATCATCTGTTCGGTTATAATTGCGGTACCACAAAGAAAGTACCAAAATGTCTTTAAAGCCGAGATAAAACAAGCATACTAAAATCATAACTGTTGAATGCCAACGGCCATACCATGCTGACGTTAGATCACCGAAGTCAAGCATCATTGGGCGCGGTCAATACTTGGGTGGGTGACCACCTGGGAACACCGCGTGCCGTTGGCACCAGCAAATGTGGGACCTGAATGGCCGAGTGTCGAGCGCTCTGGCGCTCGGTGCCACAGGTTTTGGGTTCGAATCCCGGCGGTGCCATGGATGTTTGTAGTGGTTCGGAATCCACTTTAAACCGTAGGTCCCGGTCTCCTATGACTGTAAGAGCGTCACGGAGCCAAAGTCAGACTTCTACCTACGGGTGCTCCATCACAACAGAAGCTGCTTCCTTCCCCTTCAATCATGAGTACGTACGGGCTCGTGGGCTTGGCCAGCCAAGTGGGATAAGAAACAACAAAACAATAACTGTTGAGATCAAATAATATAGCAAAAACTTTCAAATATTGACGAAAAGTATTTTACTTAAACAAAAAGCATTTGAAACTTGTACTATATACTACTGTGTCCAAAAAGTAAAACCAATTTTTAATTTAAAATTGACGGGGCTTAGGGAATTTCAATTTTTTTCATCTTTTTTAGGTTGATGGCACTGTCCTTGACACCTGTGTGAAATTTGACGTCAAACTATTCATTAGTGTTTGAGTTCCGCTCGGCTTTGTGAGACGCTAAAATTGATTCCGGCGATTTCTGAAGTGTCTGAATTCATTGAGCAAAGAACTTGCATTCAATTTCGCTTGCGGAAACGTATAGAATGTTGAAGAAGGCATTCGGTGAGCATTCCTATATCGGAAAGAAATGTTTAGAAGTGGTATAAACAGTTAAAAAAAGGCAGAGAATGCGTTGAAGACGAGGAGCCCTCTGGTCGACCCTCCACCTCAACCGACGAAGCTCACGTCCAAAAATTAAAAATTTGGTACTTGCAAACCGTCAATTTACAATTAGAGACCTTGCTGCTGATGTTGGAATTTCAAAAGGTCGATTGGTACCAAAAACACTGAATGCTCCAGCTCACACTGCATTGATTCTTCGTGACTTTTGCGCCAAAAATGAAACCCATATCTTTCCACAACCACCATATTCACACCATGTGACTTCTAGCTATTCCTTAAACTCACAAGACCACTCCGGGGATACCGTTTTGAGTCGATTGAAGAGATTCAACGTGAATCGCCGCGCGCTTTGAAGACCATCCCTGGTGATGATTTTTTTGCATGCATTGAGAATTGGAGAAAAAGCTGGCATAAGCGCATTGTGTCCGGAGGGGATTACATTGAAAGCGATGAAATAAATTTGGAAGAATAAATAAAGAGTTTTTGAAAAAAAAAAAAAAAATAACTGCTCTTACTTTTTGGGCAGAGTAGTACATTATCGTATTTCAATATTTTTAAATGTGTTTCCCTTACGTGGACAATTTGAAAAAAGATTTGATGGGGACAAGAAATCCATTCAAGATTCTCGGATTAATACAATAAATTAAAATCAGTTCTTGAATTGTTTTTTCAAAACCAAGTAAAAATTTTAATAATTTATTCATTACCTACCAATAATGATAAAAAGTAACATTTTTATTTAAATAAGAAATATTTGAAACTTGTAATATAAACATTAACATATTTCAACAAGTTTAAAAACATTTTTTTATTTGGATAGTTTCAAAGAAGTTATTTAAAAAAGGTTGATATAAGATATCAATGCGAGTTATTCCGGTTTAAAGAATAAATTATGATAACTCCATAAAAAAATCTTTAAAAACGAAGTTTAAAATATAATAAGTTATTCATTTATAATCACTTTTTAGTGCTAAATACACATTTAGTTTTATTAAAAAAAAAAAAAAAAAAAAAAGAGAAATTGAAAATTTTATTATTCTTTCCCATTTTCGCGATGGTTTAAAAACGTGCATGTTTTACGTGATAAATTAAATCTTTCAAATTTAAAATAGCTAAGAAATCTTATATTTTGTCGTAATGTATTACGCTATGCTTTGATGTTGTTAAAAATGCTCATCTACGAATTGTTGATCGCAGAAATATTATATGAGCAAAATTTGGACAACCTGCGTTTTTTTGTGCTGCATAAACCTCTAGCAGTATGGAGAACATTTTGGTATATTTTAATGGCGACAAAACTTGGCATGATATACTAAACAGCATCTGCTATCTACTTGCCATGAGTTGTGAATAAAGTAGTGAATAAGATTTATATGAACTAATTAAAACATTCAGTGCAAGATTTATATGGACCAATTAGAAGACTCAGTACAAGATTTGTATGGACTAATTAGAAGACTCATTACAAGATTTGTATGGACTAATTAGAAGATTCATTATAAGATTTATATGGACTAATTAGAAAATTCAGTACAAGATTTATATGGATATTCTCTTGACGATTTAAATAATCAAACAAATCTTCGAGCTCCAATGATCTATCCTTGAAAATAAACCCTCCTATTTTGAAACTTTGAACTGGCTGAGTTTCACTAAATACTGATTGAGAATCAAAGTGATCAGTTTGCTTCAGACGAGGCATATCTTCATAAATTGAATGCTGTGCTCAAAATCGCCAAAAGGAAGTGGCCAAAGATCCTCAAGGGTACGAATTTATATTCAACAAATTGCCTCTAAAAGGGCTCATCCTCGTGAAAGAGCAGCAGCAAAAAAAAGTTGTTGAAACTAAACTTATTTCTGACGCCATTGACTCTAACTTTTTTAATATCTTGCATGATTTTATACCTTCTGATAAGAATATGAGTTTTTAATTAAACTTGGGACACAATTGACGTTTTGAAATTAACAATGTGATCAACCTCAAACTTTTGAAATTTTTTTTTTTAAATAACGTATTCATCTATGGGTATTTGTTAGTTGATTTTAACATGCAATTTCATTGAAATCGACGAAATTTTTCACTGAAAAATGAAGGAATCGAAAATTGGAATTTTACGAAATATTACATATATGCTTAGCTGATATGTAAGTAAATTTAACATTTTCATTTTAAATTCCAATGTTATTTTTTTTAAATATATTTTCTAATGCTGTAAGGTATATGTCCTATATATTAATATTCAGGCAACAATAAGGAAATATTTGCAACATAACAATGCAGTCCATAACAATGCAAACAATTTTATTATTACTAAGTACGTAAATAATGTAAAAACAAAACACATTGTTAGGATACATACATTGTTTTTGGCACTCTCTGTTGCTTCTCACATTTTGTTCGTGGCCATTTGAGCGAACAGCGATTATTTTGATTGCAATTAAATATATTGATTTTTTCTGCAACAAAGCGGAGAACTTGTGCGATAATGTGACTTTATCATCTCTTCCGAAGGAGAAAGAGGTGGACTGATTTATTTTTGATATTTGAAACGGATTAAGGATGAGTTTCATTGAAGAAGGCAAACGTTGGTTGGGGAAGGCTAGCTTCACTGTCTTGTCAGTGATGCTTCTCATGAGTTGAACGTTTTTGACGTCACCGGTGTGGTCTTGCTGATTGGATTTGTTTGCAAGAAGGTGAAGGATTCCGGCTACGACTGGAATCAGAGAGATCCTTTCGAAGTGGAGTTGCTTGGATACGGATTCCTGTACTTTCACCTCTTCATGATTTGTATTCGTCTGCAACCCATTTTCACCCTCTTGATTACTGGGGTTATTGCAGATACTCTTAAAACCCACTTCAACTCGTGGGATGCTATTAAAGCATTTGCCAATCGTTAAGATTGATTAAAGAAAAACAATAGTCCAAGAAATATTTAATAAAATGAACTGTAAACAGCCTCTCGAACAATACAAAAAACAATCGACCTGCATTTCCAAATTGGATGAAAAAGCATTAAAATATTATTTAAATTTCCATACCAACCAAATAAAATAATAATTTATATTGATCTAAAGAAAATATTCTACTTCTCCCCTGTCATCCAAAAAGAGAATTAGGGCTCCCGGCGACACCTCTCTAAAAAAAAACGCATCGAGATTTCTACCTCCTGGGTGATGTGGAAACGAAATTACTCAGACTAAAAATTGTGTCGTAATTATTAAACTGAAATTTATTTTGCTTTATTTGAAAACCTTTGGCGGCCTGATGGCCAATTGGATGGCGCTCTGGCTTTTGGTACCACTGGCTTCAGGTTCGAATGCTGGCGGTGGCATGGATGTTTGTGAGTGGTTCGGAATCCATGTTAAACTGTAAGTCCCGGTCTATTTAGCCTAGAGTGGGCACAAGATGACCGTAGAGCGACAAACCAAATCAAAGCCTTTGAAATATTTATTTTATAATCGGGTACTTTTCCTTTAACTCTCTCTATTTGACTTACAATGAAAAGTCATCCATTACAATGCCGTAAATGTAAGAATAAACATTAATGCGATGGAATATCTAATCAAAACGAATTATTCTATTACATCAAAAAACCTTGTTATAAATACAAATGGAAAAACAGAATTAAATTTAAGTTATGAATAGATTACTTTTGACATAACCGAAAATATGAAACTGCTTGAGTTAATAATCCTTGCATTCCTCTTCATTTTTAAATTTATTTATAACAAGTAATATAAAAAATTTTTCTCTCTATTACAGAAAGTCCTTTATAAATAGTTTTCATTAATTTTTTTAAGTTAGAAAAAATTTCCTCTCTCTCTCTCTCTCTTTCTCACATACCCACTTTCCATCTCTCTCACTAATTTACTTAAATATTTAATTTTCCATTTTGTTCCCTCCTCGACTCAGACTAGAACCCAGAATGAAAAAAGAATCTGAAAAAGAAATTTTTTTCCACACGCTTTGCCACTGACTGTAGTTATTCCTAAATTTATATCCTGCTAAAAAGAGAATATCTTAATAAGAGAAAAAATTTTTTCTCCTACATCAAACTAAAATTAATTAATTAAATGGAATGAATATTGGAAAAAACTGTATTAACATCCAGTGTCATCCACTACAAGTTCAAAAAAGAAATGTATTTGAACTCGAGTGGATGAATAGAGAGTATTTGATGAACGATTGAAAATTTGAACAAGATATATAAAGGGAGAATGTGAACTAATAGTAGGAATTGAATAAGTAAACGTTGTTTAGTAGAAAATTATTTTATGCA